ACTGCCGGGCTCTGCCAAAGCTGGTGGCTTTGCACTCTGCTTCCTGCTCCCCTCCACCTCCACCCCCCCCAGTGCCCCCCTCCGTGTCCTCTCCCGGCCCCACCAGCATCGCACTGCCCTCACGGCTTCGCCTTTCCCGCCACCTGCTCCATCCTGCGCGACTCACCACCAGAAATACCTCCTCAGCTGAAGCAGCAGCGGGGCTCGGTGAAGTATGCCTCCTCCTGCGAGGGCAAAGGGGGAGCGCAGCCACCACGGCGGCAGCCCAGCCCTCGGGACCAAGGGAGAGGTCCCCAGGGGCACAAGAGGCAGCTGGGCATCCTCCGGTCAGGCATCCCTCCGCCACCTCCAGTTCCAGAGAAACTCCTTGCAACCTCAACAGCAAGATGTCCTCTGCTGGGGCTGCACGGTCCAGCCTGGAAGGAAAGAAATTTGTTTGCACGAAGTCCCTGTTACAGTTACCCACTGAAAGCAGAGTCACAGGCGCTAGAAAGTCAAGAGTTGTTACAAACTCAGTATCTTTGTTTGTGAGTAATAATTACCTCAAGGCTTTTACTCTTAATTAGTGGATTTGGGTCTAGTCAGCCACTGGTGCATGTGCATAAACTCTGATTGATGTTAAAGACTACGTAGAGTAGAAGACTGCTTAGAAATAGCAATTTCTCCCACGGGAATAGTTGGTGGTTTTGTTTTTTTTTTTTTTTTTTTTAATTACCTATCTTCTGTTCCTTCCCAAAATCATGACTTTGAATTAAAATTTGTCTGATTACTGATGTCCTGTGACATGTCAGAACTGGGACTAAGACTGCTCAGAAATATCTCTGTGTTCTTGAGTGGAAAAAGCGTCCCGCCTGATATTTACTGTCTAGAGCACAAACACCACTCTGTCACATCTGGATGAACCTCCGCGCACGCTCCTTGTTCTTTATTCCCAGACATTTTCCCTTCCTCAGCAGTGCTCAAGAGAAAAGAGCTTTTTTCTAACCCTCTGGTGCATCCCTTGGTTTGCACAAGGACAGCCTTGCCAAGGCAGATGCTTTGTCCTCACTCTCACGGTTTGCTGCAGATATTTTCACTTTTCCAGATAACTGTAAAGACAGAGGGTTGTTGAGAAAATGGATTACAAGGCTTCTGAGCAAGCTGAGCTAAAACAACGTTGAGCTTTGTCCCACAATCACCCTCAAATGACTTCTGGATCTGATTTGCCTGCACTGATTCTTAGTGAAAGAGGAATATGAACTGAGGTTTAAATATGTCATTACAGATGTTCTTGCTTTTGGGAGCTGACTCTGGGATCATCCTGACCTGCAGAATCGGGGAATTTGAAAGGTTTGACCTTTAGAACACTAAAAAAATATATAGTTTTACATTATATTTTAAAATACAATTTTAAATGCAAATTCTAAAATGTTACTCACTAATTGTAAATAATAATGAACATACTAAGTAAAAAAAAAATAAAAATAAAAGCAGTAACAGAGCTGATGAAGATCTCAGAAGGTGACACTGATTTAAAGACAAAATGGGCAAGGACAAAGCCTTGACCTCGCTGGCTATCGCCAGGACTTGCTGTGGGTTGTATCTGGACCGCCTCTCACGGCACTGAACTTCAAGACACCAGAAGGATGTTAGGATTGTGTTTGCTCTGGGGTTGACAAATTCTGCCGTTCTGTAAAACCAATGGAAAGAATAATATTTAGGCTGTTCATCCTATCTGTCTATCATAGGTGTTGCAATTACTTTTCCCAAATTACTGTATGCCAAACCACAGTTCGGCAACCCCAGCAAGCGAGGGATATGAAGAGCTTACTTCTCTTTTTTTGAAAAAGATAAACACCAGAGAAGATTGTACCTTTTGACTTAGTGACCACAGAACATGTTTTGGCCATAGTGTGTAAACCTTAACGATTCCTGACCCTCGATTTCTTGATACACGAAGTCAACAGCTCTGTAAACTCCCTTTCTATTATGCCATCTGCATCTATTTTTTTGAAGGTCAGTGCCTGCCATTTTTTCCTGCCTTGCTTCCTGACACTGTAATTTTAATCCCAGCAACAACTCTTCGTTAATACTTCAGTATACTTCAAATATTATATCTCACCGGCTCCTCAAAATATCATGCCGGAGATCTGATGCTCTGTGCGTGGCAAATGTTCCTTTGTGGAGCTTTTGATGTGATGTCAAGCCATGCTGCGCAGACGTTACATCGTGGATCTTTGATATCACGCACCATGACAATGTCTCCCTCGCAGCCGTCACTGACTCACGGCGTGCTGCTCGTACCGTCAGTGCTCCTGGAAACACGATGTACCTGGGGTGTGTTAGAATCTGGTTGCGAAAAGACACATGGTGCCTGTAGTACAATCATTAATCAACTGTGAATTTCTTAATCACTGCAAAGAAAATGATGCAATTTCATGAATTCTACCTGCACAACCCAGGAGAACATGTGCATAATTATCAATAATGACTTAGATCTGTGCGCAGGACCAGGGCTTATCCAGGAAAGCTGATCTTTCTCACCCAGATGCTGCAGGGTAAAATGTACTTTGGAAGGAAACGACAATTTCCTCAATTAAAAGCCACAAGATTTGTCCTTATTTTTCCTTTTTCACTCCTTCATTACCATTGTAAATATCAAGTTGCATAAGATCCACAGACGTGTTGCTCGTTCACAGAGTCTTCGAGTCAGCGCAGTTGAAGCCAACCCTGCAACAAAAGTTGTTCTGTGCAGTACTGTCATTTCTTCCCGTAGCACTTTAAACTAGGAATTACCTATCACCAGGAAAAAGCAATTTCTTTTAATAAATACGTGATTGAAATACCTTGCAATACACAGAGCTCTCCAACAAGTGGCACTATTAAGACTATTCAAGTAACGAGATTGATATGCAAATGAGATCTCAGAAAGGGATGTTGGGACATGTTTTACAATATCAGATTCTATTTAAAATCTTTTAAATTTACATATGAAATATGATTGAAATAGATATTCATAATTCAGATATTCTGGAAAGTTTTGTGTTATCCATAAAGAAAAGGCTGAAAAGTAGGTCAAGTGCCACGAGCTCAACCAGGCAGTCCTCTCTAAAGGGATGAAGTCACGGGAGTGTGGAGAAACCACCTAATTAAGACATTAGTAAAGGTAACGTGGAACCAGGAAATCTGTCCACAGAGTTGAGCTAAAACCAGTTGCTGAATGTGTGGATGTAGCCTTTTCTCGAGGATAGTGTTGCAGTGTTCACGGCAAGTCACCCCTCAAGTATTCACGGGATAACTTCTAAATTGTACCTCTTCACATTTATTCTTATCTTATTTCGTTGTTGCTTGACAAATTGTGGATCATTTTGCGAGACCGTACATGACATCTCCTCAAATAATTCATATTTGTCTGGAATATATGTTTGGCTGTACTTCAATAAAAATGGTCCAGAAATAGTTATGTATACAAAAATTGAGGCGTGGAGATAGTTGATTGCAATGGAAACAGGATCAGGCTGGATTTGTTGCTGGAATATAAGCAGTTTGGGAATGAATTGGGAAGCCAATGCATTAAGATGTAAAACACATGATATAAAAATAGCATTTTTAAACTGTAGGTTTCACTCAGTGTAATATTCCTTCTGTCTTTGAAAATCAACTCTGTCAGTTTTTCCCCGGTTTTCTAGTGTTATGTAGAGAATAACGACCATAATAAAATCTCAATCTGAATGATATACAGGAATCTGAAGTCTGTCTTGTATTATGAATTGGTCATAAACTTATTAATAGTATTTGGGTACCAAAGGCTGCACAGAGGTGCTTGGTGAGTTTTCAGAAAGCCTATGTGCCCAATCCCTGCTTGGCTCTAGCTTCCTTTCACTCTGTGTCGATTTCTGTCCTGCACAAGTGTGAGCTGGTTCACACCGAACTCCCTGCAAATTTTATCACAGGGTAAACAGAACAATAAAATCTAAAATGGACAGTCTTGCTTTATGCTTCCTTTAAGCCAAATAGTATCGTTCATTTAAAAATGTTGGCCAGTGAGATAAATGGCAATTATTGCGCCTTTCAGAAATGCGTGCTATGGGCAGAGGTGTGCAGAGTGCTTTGTTGAGTTTTCTATTCGGCTGGCTTTGGCCACCTGGAGCCCTATCTCCCGTAGTGTGTTGTAAATAACAGAATACGTGCACTGTGAATGCGGTGGCATAATGGGCACGTAGCGTGCTAACTAAAGCATTACAAATGCTGCATGGCTTATTTTTATCTCTCCGTCCTTCTCAATACAGTATTTTTATCTCTCACGCCAATACAAAATTATTTTTGTGTCTCTAGGAAAAACAAGGCAAGGAGGAGACTCAGTCCCGCTAGCGTTTAAACACATGACAAGTCCCCTTACACACTGTGGGACTTTTCACGTGCTTAACACCATATATGTCTGCAGAACCAGAACCTAAACGGCACTTGTGAGCAAGGCTTTATATGAACATTACTTGGAAGGGGAAAGTGAAGTTTATGAGTCGAATTCTCCAGTGGGGTGCTATTCTGCAGCCACATGTAGCTAGGGAAAGTAGGGGTAAAATGCTACTGAACTAAAACGCTTTTCACTTTTCACAAGCGGACAACCGTGCAAAATGCAAGCCAGGGGAGAACTCTGCTTTTGAAAAGTGACAATATATTTGTTGTTACATACAAAGAGTTGATTTTGTGTTGGCATGCACCGTATTTGCATAGTTTTCTGTCGCTTTCGGTCGGTTAGACTTTGAAAACGCAAGTAGCCCGATGGAGCTGCTGCAATTTCAGGAGAAGGCATCAGTGAAATATCTTCACAGAAATTGTTCCTCTCCAAAAGATAGGGAAAACACTATATATCATCTGTCTGTAGTGAAAAAGGGAAACAGAGGGTGAAAATGTACAATAAAAACTGACATAAACACAGAAAAAAAATAACAAACATGCGCACATTAATTACTGAACGTGCTTTGGCTAGCAGTAGGTCACCATCATCCTTTATTGACATTTACTGCAACAGAAATTTCTTTTTCAAGACCACTGACCCAGGAAAATGTAACCCTCTAGTTATCCAACGCCCTTTAATTAGAGATGTCTCCAGAGATAATCTCACTCATGGCCCCTATTGTGAATCATTTATTTTCCAACTTTCCTTTTTATCAGCTGTCTGTCATCTTTACGCTTTTCGGTCCCAGCCCGGCGGAGCACCGCGGGCTTGTGGAACGCAGTTTATCCGTTAACTGGTTCTCCCCATCGCATTTCGTGGCTCGTGACATTTGGGGTTTCGCTCGTGAGCGCTGGCTGCTGGCCCCAGGATAATTTTCAGGAATCGCAGTTTTCCACTTGGTGAACGGGACCGTGGCGCCAAGCCCGGGGGTGGGAAAGGACTGGGAAACCCGCACCTTACACCCGCCGAGGCGAGGCAAAGGGCATGCAACCCTCTCGCCTTGGGGACACTTGACGGGGTTTTGTTTTTGTTTTTAGTCTCGGGAGCACTTATCTATTCTTGTGATGTTTGGCAGGGCTGACTCATGACTGTTGGACGCTTGCGGTCGGCAATATAAGTAGGATGAGGTTTCTCCGGGGGCGGAGCACAGTAAATATCACCAGGATCAACACCGAGGCTCACGCCGGCAGCGAGGGGTGACCGGGTGGGTATTTTTTTTTTTTTTTTTTTTGCCCGTGCCCCTCGTACCCTGCCCGCGGCCGTCCCTGGGTGACGGCCAGGCCTTGGCGGCGGGGCCGAGCCCCCGGCCTCCCCCAGGCGCGCCGCCCCGGGGAGGCGCACACCGCCCCCCGGCCACGGCCAGCGCGGCGGGGACGGGCCACGCCGGAGCCGAGATGGGGGTAGAACGGGGCGGGGCGGGGTGGGTGGGTGGAACGGGACCCAAATCGTCCCGCCGCCATGGCGCGTCCCCTCACCCCGCTCCCGCGCCTGCTGGCGGCGGACTACGGCTCCCAGAGCCCCCTGCGGCCCGAGGCGCGAGCCCCAGCGCGGGGTCCGACGCCCGCGGCCGCACGCATGCACGCACACCGCCCCCCCCCCCCTCCCGGTAAGAGCGGGAGGGGAGGGGGGAGAGCCCGCCCTGCGCATGCGCTGGCCGCTCAGAGCCGGAGGGGCGGGGCCGGGCGGGCGGCATGCCAGCGGCGCCGCTATTCTTGGAGCGGCCGTACGCCGCCGAGCGTGCGTAGGGGCCGGGGCAGGCGCGGGAGCGGGCGCTGCGCCGTTGGCGTAGCGTTATTGTGAATGGAGCGGGGCGGGGCGGGGCGGGTGGTGATGTCAGCCTTGCGAATGTCAACAATGTAGCGATTGAGGGGCGGGGGCGGCAGAGCCGGGCAGCAGCGGCCGCGGCGGCAGCGCAGCGCCGCCTCCCCCCCCCCCCCCCCCCCCCCCGCCCCCGGCCCCGGCCCCGGCCCCCCCCCCTCCCATCTCCGCCGGGCTGCCTCCGCCGCCGGCCCCGGGTGCCGCGCTCCGGCAGCCACACAGCCGCCGCCGTGCCGCTTCTTACCCCCCCCCCCCCTTCCCCTCCCCGCCTCCCTCCTTCCCACCCTCCCTCTGTTGCGGCTTTCTCTCCTCCTCCGGCCCCCCTGCCAGCCCCCTCCCTCGCTCCCTCCCTCCCTCCCTCCCTTCCCCCTTTATTTTTCTCCGCAAGACTTTGGCTCTGGAAGCAGCTGGTTCAAAGCAATCGCCATGTGATGAGCCTCTGGGTCGGGGCTTTTTTTTTTCGTTTTGGGGGGGGGGAGGGTGCAGGTTTCTGACCGCGGAGAAATATTAATAAGAATTTCCGAAACAACAACAACAACAGCAGCAGCAACAAGAGCAAACACCTTCCCCCCCCCCCCCCCCTCCCTTCCCCAGACCTCAGCCGTAACAGCTTCACCCGCCCACCCCGGGACCGCTCCACCCCGCCCTACGACCTCTTCCCCCCCCCCCCCCCCCCCTTCCCCTTCTCCCCCCTCCCCAGGGTGCAGCGAGAGGGGCGACCCCCGAAAGTTGCGCGGAGGCGAGGTGAGTGCGCCTGTTCCGCGGCTCGGCAGCCCCGCTGGGGACGGGGAAAGCGGGGGGCGAAGTTTGGGGAGGGGAGGCTGGCGGGAAGGGGCGGGGGTGGGGGGGCAGCGTGTTTTTTTTCCCCTCCTTCTCCTCCTCCCCGAGCAGCTGTTGCGCGGGGTTAGGCGGTGTGTGTGGGGGGGGGGGGTGAAGGGGAGGGTGTGGGTGTGCTCCTGCACCCCCGGCGCGGCCGCGGAGCTTTTTGGGGAGCACGGAGCGCTTAAAGTGGGAAACACGCGCGTTGCGTAACGGGGCGCGCGCGGCGGGCTTCGGCCGCGCCTCCCCCCGCGCAGCGCTCCGCGGGAACCCCGGGGCAGCCCCCCCCCCCCCCCCCAATCCCGGGGTACCCCCCCCCCACTACCCCCCCCCCCCCCCAGCCCCGCCACCACCTGCAGCCGCTCGGGGCGAGCGGGGGCACCGCGCCGCGCCCCCGGCCCTGCGCCGTCCCCTCCGTGTCGCGTGTGTGTCCGTGTGTCCGTCCCACCCCGCCCCGTTCCTATAGGTTCGGGGGGGGGGAGAAAGAGAGAGAGAGAGAGAGATGTGAACTCCGATAACAGTTTCTTGGATCATTAAAACGTAGCGTGTAGGCAAGGCGGTGCGCCGCGGAGACGCTGGCTGTCATGAAAGACGCGAAGTGTGAAATCATGCCTCTCCTTTTGTGGAGCAGGCTATTTTTGTAATGCGGCGGGTGTCTTGCTTAAAACGCTCCCAGCTATCGTGAGATCATCGTGCCCTTGCTGCTGGAGCCCCGGCACCCCCCCCTCCCCCCGGAGTAAACCCCCTTTTTCATTCTTTAGTGATAAATGCGAGGCAGGGATGACATCTTACTAGAAATACTCTTTAGGGTGTTGGAAAGATTGGGAAATTATGGGGTTGCTGTTTGCTCTACTTGAAGCCGTGTCAATGTTTTTGTGATGAAAGCCCATTCTCAAAGACTTTGGAACTGTCGCTGAACTTGTGACTGTTTCAATTTGGTATTGCGGGGCTCGAGCTAGAAACAAGTCATTTTTTTCAGGCTGGGAATTGTCCGAGATTCTGCTGTAGATGGTGGAATGCTCTGCAGTTTGAAGAGGGTGGTGGTGCTTGGGTAAATTGACTTCTTCAGGTATGTAAATACTGAAATTTGAGATAATTGCATTTGGTTAAATGGATAGAATAATGATAAGGTTGTCTGTTCGGCTGTTGTCTATGGGGCTGTTGTAGCAACAGCTTGAAAACGGTGTTTTAGGAGTCTTTACATCTGACAGATAGAAATAAAATTCCACTTCAGATGCGGGCTTTTTCTTTCAAAAGCCCGTGTTGCCTTTTGTATCCACCTGCCTACCCCCCGTCACCGGGATCTGGGCACTTGTGCAGCAAGATGGATCGGTGCCGTACTTCCCTGCGGTGTATTGAACCTGTGCTTTCAGCATCGTTTTTCACATTTGACCCTCCAGCTTCAAAGGATATGTTCTAAAGATGCTCTGCAAGAAATGGAAGGAAGCTGTGACTAATTGGAAAAGGATTGAAAAATTAGGATCATGGGTTTAGTTTTCCTGTTAGTTTGCTCTGCAAGGCTGGATGATCCATTCAAACAGATGTATGCCGGTACACTGAGCTGTCAAGTGGGCAAGAAAGGTCCCTAGTGGTTTTGGAGGTAGGATGGTTGTCGGGATATTTGGATATCTTTTGCAGAAATGCCTCACAGAAGCAGAGTGTGTGTTTCTGGGCAGCTCTGGTGTGTAACTTGTGCTTGGAACTACTACATTTTTTGAAAACTTTCACAATTGTGAGGATTGGATGGGAAAGTTGCACGACTGCTACACATGCTGGCAGTTCCCAACTGGTTAGTCATCAGCAATTGTTTGTGCCCGGATATCTCACACTGGGAACCAGTGCTGGGACAGGTGCCTCCAGGTCAGAAAAGGACTAGGAGTACATCCCAAACATGTGTTGGTATTAATGTCATGCCCAGTGGCGGGGTGCGCTGGTGATGTAGGTGAGAAAGACTCTTCTCCTTCCCTCTTTGCTTTCTGTCGTTCATTTTGCACCAAGAAAACATTGTCTGTTCGCTCTTCTGTGCTGGGCATGAAGGAAAGTTAGAGATAGCACCTGAGTTGCTAGCTGAGAATAACAGTTCAAATCCCAATAAATAGGCATTGACAGGACGCCCCTAATACGAGGGGATTCTGGTAAATCTTCGACATTGTAGAAGGCCTCAGAGGCTCATTGAAATTAATGAGTTTAATAAAATCCCCATGCTGTATAGCAGACTTGCGTATCTCTTTCTGTGTGCCCATAATTAATGACAAAGAGAGCTGAAAATAAAACCCTGTGTGGATGATGTGTAGTGTGGAATATGCGACAGAAGCTGCCTGCCCTCCCTTATTTTAAAACTTTCATTACTTGATTTTCGGTTCTGAAGTGTAATAGCTATCTTTCTTAATGAGGCTGCAGTGTGATTGCCAATTAGTTATTTTCCTTAAGGTTTTCTCTAAAATATCACCAGCCATGGGGAAAAAAAAAAAAAAAATTAGCCATCAAGTTTTTTGTTGTTGTTTTAAAAATACAAGAAGAATAAAAAGAGATGTTTTCTCATTGTGTGCCTGTGATATTCTTTTTGATTAGGATTTCACATATGCACAGATAAAGAGGAGACCTCTTAAAGCATAGCTAGGAGATGTTTATAGCACTAAGCTGAAAAATTAGATGTGTAACATTAATATATGCAAAATAATTTCAGTAGTAATGACATTTTTATGGAATAAACTGTTGGTGTAAATTGAATAGCATTTATTGTGTGACGCAAACAGAGTCTCTTGTGATTTTAATTTAGGTAGTATGAACATGGTTTATATATTCAAATCAAAATGTACGTGCCTTTTTACTCAAAGGAATGCTCTCTGAATGGCTTCTCAGTTTACAAGTTGCATGAATGTACCTGTAGTGTTTAGCAGATCTGACTTCTGTTTGAAGGCGTGCATGCTTCCGTCTTCTACCTCGGGGTCTGAATTTGCAGCTCGGCAAATTTTGGGTGTGATGGTCATATATTAGTGGTTTCTGGGTTGAAGTGTGTTAGGGGAAATATACCAGTCATTCCATGAATGTGTTGAAGAAAATTTGGATTTAAACTTAAAGCTTTCTTTAAGTCCGAGTTAGTCCTGCTGCTTTCAGTGTTCCTCCTGGGTACAGACGCTTTAAGAGAATGTGGAAGAGAGTCTTTCTGACACTGCAGTTCTCTGCTGATATTTTAGCAGGAGCCTAAATGATTTTGTTGTAGTAGCTGAATGGGCAGTGGATTCCTACCCCCAGTAACTCCCTAAGGTTTTCCAGAGCAGTGCTCAGACTACTTACTCAGCTTTTTACAAAAAATGGTCATCATTCCTTTAAATTCAGCCAAAAGACATCAACCTTGGCAGCTGCCTGAGTATTATGCGTTTGCTTGAAGCTTGCATCAAGATGATGTAAAATGTATGAATATAGCCAGCTGAGTTGCAATGTGTTCATTTTGCTTTTTAGTTAGGCAGAAACATCTTTGTAGTGGATTGAAAAGAGCACTACTTACTGTGCTACTGTTGGACTATGAATTATAATTTTAAAGCGGGCAAGCGGTGGAGTGCATAC